CAGGAGACTCGCTTGAGCCCAGGAGTTGGAGGTTGCTGTGAGCTGTGAGGCCATGGCACTCTACCTATGGGGATAGCTTGAGGCTCCGTCTCAAAAAAAAAAAAAAGAAACATCAGTACACCTTGCCATTGTGAGCTGAGGGAGGTGCTGAGACAGGCAGCACCTTGTGAGCCCTCCTCGGGGGACTCAGTCAGGGAAGGAGTCAAGGAGGGGTCGGGTTTGAGGTGTCCACTGCTACCTGCTGAGTTCTCAGGGGTCAGAGCACCTGCAGTCATCCTGCAGCGCCTTCTGGGGCCCTGATGCAGATTCAGGGCTGGTGGCTTGTCAGCCACTCTGCTACCTCCTTCCCCCCGCAGGAGGAACAAGGTGCTGAACCACTTCAGCATCATGCAGCAACGGCGGCTGAAGGACCAAGACCAGGATGAGGACGAGGAAGACAAGGAGAAGCGTGGCCGCAAGAAGGCCAGTGAGCTGCGCATCCATGACCTGGAGGATGACCTGGAGATGTCATCTGATGACAGTGAGGCCAGCGGCGAGGGAGGTAAGGCTGGGGGCCCACTGGTACCAGGGCCTTAAGTTCTTGGAGGTGACTGGTGGGCTAGCTGCTGAAAGGAAGCTGTTCCTCATTGCAGTCCTGGAAATGAGAGACTCTCAAAGCCACCCCGGGGAAGCAGAACAGGGGCTGGGGAAACATTGAGGCCATGGCCTGTAGTGGGGAGTCCACTGGAGGGCACTACTCAGGGCCAGCCAGTCTGAGCCCTCCTGCGTGCTCTGCGCTGCAGGGGCTGTTATGGTTGTCTGGTGCCCAGCAGGGGGGAATTCAGCACAGGGGGTATGTAGTGGGTGTGAGAGCATTAAAGAAGGGTTTGGGGGACAGGCTCAGGAATAGGGAGTTTGCCTAAGAGAAGTACCCCCTGGGCCAGCCCTGCACATTTCAAGGGCACTGGCTGGCCCTAGAGGGAGGCGGTACCCCCAGGCTGCGAGGCCCTAAGATGTCAAAACAACCATAAAATATGAAAACTGAGATTCATATGTGGCCTGAGCTTCCCCTCCTTCTCCCTCCTCCAGGCAGCAGAGCCCCCAAGGCAAAGAAGGTGCTACCCACCAAGGCAGGCAGGAAGAGGAAGAAGAAAAAGGGCTCAGATGATGAGGCCTTCGAGGACAGTGATGATGGGGACTTCGAAGGCCAGGAGGTAGACTACATGTCTGATGGCTCCAGGTAAGTGGTAGGAGGCAGGTATATGGCCCAGCCCTGAGGCCCCATGGCCCCACACTCACCCTCTACCCACTCCCTGTCTTACAGCAGCTCCCAGGATGAGCCAGAGGGCAAGCCCAAAGTGCTGCAGCAGGAGGAGGGGCCCAAGGGTAGTCCAAGGCCTGTGTTGGCTGGTGGGGGTTGGGTCAGCTGTGCCCCACTTCTGGTCACACCTGGCATGGCCCTGTGCCCCCCAGGTGTTGATGAGCAAAGCGAAAGCAGTGAAGAGAGCGAGGAGGAGAAGCCGCCTGAGGAGGACAAGGAGGAAGAGGAAGAGAAGAAGGCACCCACTCCGCAGGAGAAGAAGCGCCGGAAAGGTGGGACTCGCATGGCCTCAGTGTTCAGGTCCCTTTATCTGCAGTGGAGGTGACAGTGGGTGCAGGGGTCCCAGGGGGCTCTGATCCTGAGCCCAGTTCTATGCCCCCCACAGATAGCAGTGAAGAGTCCGACAGCTCGGAGGAGAGTGACATTGACAGTGAGGCATCCTCAGCCCTCTTCATGGCAGTAAGTCCCAGCTGGGGGTGGGAGTGTCCCAGCCGTCTAATTTCTGGACTATATCCCAATTCTACCTTTATCTCTTTAGAAGAAGAAGACGCCCCCCAAGAGGGAGCGGAAGCCCTCAGGAGGCAGCTCAAGGGGCAACAGCCGCCCAAGCACCCCCAGTGCTGAGGGCAGCAGCACCTCCTCTACCCTGTGGGCCGCCGCCAACAGACTGGAGCAAGGTGAGTGCCTAGTTCCTCCCCACTGCCCCAGCCAGCCCCCACCCCTACCCTTGGATCTGAGGCCACAGGGGACAGAGAGGAGGGGTGGAGGCCTATCCTTTTCTGAGCCCTTTGTATCTCACTCTTGGCACTGTTCAGCCCAGGGTCCTGCCCCACCATCCAGCTCCCCATCCCTAAGACTCAGCCCTGACTCTGCTCCAAAAGGGAAGCGGGCAGGTGAGACACCAGCAGCCAAGCGGCTGCGACTGGATGCTGGGCCCCAGAGCCTGTCTGGAAAGTCAACCCCACAGCCACCATCGGGCAAGTCAACACCTAGCAGCAGGTGAGTTGGTGAGGACAGTGGGGAGGGCAAGGGCCACAGGGGAGATTCTTGCTGATGCCACATCCCCACCCACTGCTCCACAGTGATGTGCAAGTGACTGAGGATGCTGTGCGCCGCTACCTCACCCGGAAACCCATGACCACAAAGGACTTGCTGAAGAAGTTCCAGACCAAAAAGACGGGCCTGAGCAGCGAGCAGACAGTGAATGTGCTGGCCCAGATCCTCAAGCGGCTCAACCCTGAGCGCAAGATGATCAATGACAAGATGCACTTCTCCCTCAAGGAATGAGGCTCTGCTCAATAAATAGGCTCTGTTCTCCAGGACTTCTCAGCTTGTGAAGTCTGTGCTCGCTGCCACGTGTCCTCTGCTGTTTGGTGTCTCTCCCTGAGTGCCCCAGTATTACCAATTCTTTTTTTTTTTGAGACAGAGCCTCAAGCTATCCCCCTGGGTAGAGTGCCGTAGCTTCATAGCTCACAACCTCCAACTCCTGGGCTCAAGCGAGTCTCCTGCCTCCGCCTCCCAAGTAGCTGGGACCACAGGCGCCCGCCACAACGCCCGGCTATTTTTTGGTTGCAGCTATCGTTTGGCGGGTCCAGGCTGGATTCAAACCCGCCACCTTAGGTGTATGTGGCTGGCGCCTTAGCCACTTGAGCCACAGGTGCCGAGCCAGTATTACCAATTCTTAAGCAGTTTCTCTTTCAAGCCCTCCTGCAACCTTCAGATGCATTTTAGACCCTTTCACCCCCTATTCCTCCTTACTCACCCTCTGACACACTGACTAAGCATCTGTGCTGCCTGCTGGGAAGCTTCTCTAGCTTTGTCTTCCCCTTCGCTGGGCCTCTCTTCAGCCTCATTTGTCCAGTGTGTGGCCCATTAGGTATTAGATTGCCAGTGACTCCATTTTCAATTGCTCAAAGTTGTCTTTGTTTCCTTTTCAGCTGTTGGAATAGTCTTTTATTTATTTATTTATTTATCATTATTATTATTTTTAGAGACAGTCTCACTTTATTGCCCTCGGTGGAGTGCTGTGATATCACAGCTCACAGCAACCTCCAACTCCTGGGCTTAGGTGATTCTCTTGCCTCAGCCTCCCAAGTAGCTGGGCTGAGGCACTTGCCACAATGCCCAGCTGTTTTTTGTTGCAATTTGGCCAGGGCCAGTATATGAGGCTGGGGCCAGTCCCCTACCCACTGAGCCACAGGTGCCCGCCCACCCGAGTTGTATTTTATTTTTTTATTTTTTATTTAAATTGTTTTAGAGACAGGCTTGGCACCCATAGCTTAATGGTTAGGGCGTCGTTGGCCACACACACTGAGGCTGGTGGGTTCGAACCTGGCCCTGGCCTGCTAAACAGCAATGACAACTGCAACAAAAAAATAGCTGGGCATTGTGGTGGGTGCCTGTAGTCCCAGCTATGGGAGACTGAGGCAAGAGTATTGCTTAAGCCCAAGG